CATTGCACCTTTCCTGTCCAAGAAAATTGCTATGTCTATGTCTAAGACCAGAATTCAATTGTTTAGAGCTGAATAACCTGTAAACTGTATGTTACATGTACATTGTACATATTTTGTACCTTTGCTAGGGCTAGGTTGTATTTAGGCTTTTAAGCCCACACATCAGAGGAGTCATAATTTCTTTTTTTGATTTAGAGGCATGACCAGACTAATTTGTTTGTAAAATGTCAACAGGCAATCAGCAAGTTCGAATCACTTGTGAACCAAATCCAAAAGAATGCCAAAGACATAAACAGCCGTCTGGAGATGATCGAGAACACAGTGTTGTTCAAACATCCTCCACCCAAGATAGGAGGGATGCTACCTGATGCTAAGGTGACAAGATCTACAATTATTTTAATTTCTAACTATTGTGGAAACACAAACAGATTACTGTATATTAAAATACATCTGTAACGACTATATTTTAGCCTATGTGAAGATGCCTTAGCTTACCTAGCCAACATTCAACTCTGGTTTCTGAATTTAGCTACAGAGTNCACCTGGTTTTAAAAAGTAGTCGGGGGCTTATATCACAATGTGGTCTGGGAATCTCAAAACAGGATTTACGAAGAAAAATTATTTTCATTTCAGATGCTTCAGAGGCCAGCCGAGACTTGTACGTGGATGCCATCGAGGCACTGACCCTCTCCAACACCCCTGACGTGTTTGGTCTTCACCCCAATGCCGAGATCGGCTACTACACTCACTCAGCCAAGGACATGTGGAACCATCTTGTGGAGCTCCAGCCACAGACAGGTGGGGAAGCCGGAGGTGTCAGCCGCGAGGAGTTCATCGGGAAGATAGCCACCGACATTCAAGGCAAGCTGCCTCCTCTGTTTGATGTAGACAGAGTCAGGAAGAGCATCAGTGAGATCACGCCTACCTACGTGGTGCTGCTGCAAGAGCTGGATCGGTTTAATGTTCTCATCAGGAAGATGTCCACTTCGCTAATCAACCTTCAAAGGGTAGGTTATCTAACTCCACTGTTTTTTCCCTTTTAAGCTCTTTCCCCCCTAAAGCAAACGGCACTTTTTCCCAAGTCACCAAATAAAGACTCTCTGCCTGTGTACAATATACCATTGGAAAGCCAGTGATCAGTTTATTTAAGAACTGACATCAGCAGCTATGAAGGAGGTTGTCATTTTGAGAGAAATTGCTTTAAAATGTGAGACTGAAAACACGTATCAACTCTCAAATATCATAGGTTTATCCCTAAACTAATAGCTTATTTAACAGGTCTAGTGCAAAGCTTGATGTGAAACAAGTCGTACATTCCATTTGCATCTCACGATTCTTCAGGGTCAAAAAGTCAGGGAAAATTGACATTTTGAAGAAAAGTCAGGGAAAATTGAAATAATTCAGCACCATTGAAGGCTGGAAGAAACATTTGGGGTCACGTGATCACAATGATATTTTTAACTTAATGAGGAAGGAAAATTTGTTGAAACCTTACCAGTCTTAATGAACGAGTGGAAAGGTCGGCCGAAAGTTGAGGCTAGAAGCCGCTACTATATCTACACATTTTGTATTTATTTGGTCAGGGAAATTTTATTTTTGTCAGGAAAAAGTCAAGTAATTTTGAAAAGTGATGTCTGTGGCAACCATTAATTGTAAATCCTCCATTCCGGTAGTTATTTATTGGTGACCATGTCTATTCAAAATAATCATTTGGCGACTTATTTTTGAGCACACTGACAAGTATATAATAACCTTATTTGGATAACATTCCTCCTCAGGCTCTCGCCGGTGAAGTAGGAATGAGTAGCGAACTGGACGAGGTTGCGCGTGCGCTGTTCAATGGTCAGATTCCTAACA